CCTTTGATCTGCCAACTGAAGTCATATTGGATCACGGCACCAAGACTCCTCTGATAGACCAAGGAGGAGGTTTGAATTCCAACACTGTAGAGACTTGTAAGGAGTGATACACTTCTTAGTTCCTGTCAATGATGAATGAAATGACTGCTGAAGAATGCCCTCGCCACCCCTCAAACACACACTCTCAGATACACACACATCCCTCTCCACCTCCTGAGATGTTAAAACATGCTGCAACCTGAGTGAAATATTCTCTTATACATCTGGAAGATAAGAAATCGTGTGCCAGCGGGTGCAGATATACAGTTGAGGTCTCACATGTACAGGCCATGGCAGCATGAGGCCAAGTATGTGTCAGATTTATACTGAAGTTAAAGCTTAATGCAAATCAGTGGCTCATGCTCATGTTTCTACCAACAAGTAAAGCAGTTATTTCTAACAGTTTTTGCTTAATCCAGTGTGAAGTCAAACCATCAGGGTTTTGTTTTTACAATCATCGGTGCTTTATGGCTGCATCACTGGCTTTTGTGTGTTTTCTTAAGCTTTATTTATTCAAGGAGGGTGCCCCGGCATGAAGGGCTCTCACACAGCTCCACCTTGCTTCATTGTCTTTTAATATACACCTGAGAATCTCCCGGTGCGACCACAGCCATCTTTTGTTGGCTTTTTGGTGCTTTAATGTTGGATTTGTCGCTCAAACTACATTGGTAGTTGTAGTGACCTGGTCTTTGAACATCTTTTAAACTGTGCCACCAGGACAGGGCAGGGACGAGGACAGGGCTCCACTTTCACATGTTAAAATCACAACTTTGCAGTCGCCAAATTTACCTTTTGATTGAACTTGGGATGCACCGATTTTTTCAAATTCTCAGCCAATACTGATACCATTGTTTGAAATAACAATTTAGCCAGTAGCCGATGCCAATGTTTTTATATTGGTGTTTCTTTAGTTTTTTGTTGTTATTTATTCTTTTGTTCCAGGGAAACACAGAAATCTTCACGATCAAAAAAATGAACAGTTTCTTCATTACACTACCCTTGAATGAGCACAACTGCAATAATAGGCCTACACATGGAACACGAAACAAACTTTAACCTTCTTTCACATCATCACATCAAACTTCTTTAAAAAATAATCAGTAATCAAAAAGCAATAATCCTTTTTTACTAAATATGATACATCATAATTCCCTCTGTTATATCTTTTTTTAGAGTGCTGTGAAAACATCATCACATTTCTCCCTCAAACAGCTGGATTTATTCAAGTTTCTCACCAAAAGCTACATTTTACAATATTACATGGAACACCTCATGAGAAGGTTATAATTTACCTTTGCTCAGTTCTACTTTTTACTGGATAGACTTTGAACGACTCACAATGTAAATCAATGCAACCTCCATGAGCTGTTTGTTGCGGCCACCGGCTGCTCAGAGGTAATGATAACTAGCTGCTGACTGCTAACAGCTAACTTAAATAGTTCTCCCGCTGATTTCATGTTCTTTCTCTCCACATCCACTCCTCTCAGTAGTGTAGTGATAGTTGAAAAGGCACCAGAGAGCTTTTGTTATTTTGACATGATAACAGCGCAGCATGTTTCGGGGTTCACGTGACATCAGTGTACTCGCCCCAGAGAGCAGGTAAAGTGGAAGGAGCTGGGGAGGGGGGGCGGAGGGGAGCAGAGACCCCCAAAAAGGCCTCTGTATTATTTAGGAGGCTTTGCACGTAGTTACGTTGTTGTGGCCTTATGTCGTATTTCTAAATAAAAGTAGTAATATATTAGTAAAAAAAAGTAAAAGATAAACATTTTGATGACGGCGCTCTTAGCATTCGGCTTTACAGCCTATGCCCAGGGCTGGCTCTGGATGATCGTCATCTAATTAATAACAATCTAAAAATAATTGATTTGAATGATAATTTAACATCAATTTTTAAGTCAAAAGAAAATATTAACATCACCTACAGTAGATAAACTAGAAAACTGTGAGACTATGACTGCAATCAACATATAAATGACTCTAACAGCAGAAGGTTGAAACATAATTAGGTATCAGCTCAGCCAAGTGAGTGAGAATACTTGCTGTGCTGTTGTCAGCCAGCTCTTCCTCCCTTCATTTCCTTTCGGTCTCTACAATATCGTCTGTCTTATCAAGGCAAAAATAAACACAAATAATATAAAACTAGCAAAATTTTAGCACATAGCCTATATCTAAGGCTGTGGTTATGGATTTGAGCAGAAAGTCCAAAATTTCTAAATGAAACTTCAACATATTTAGTCCATACCAGAGGTGGGACCATTGTTTTGCAAGTCACAAGGACTGTGTCTCAAGTCTTTGCACTCAAGTTCCAAGTCAAGACTGACAAGTCCAAAGACAAGTACCAAGTCCTAAACATAATTTGCTCTTCAAATTAATTGCCATTTTAACAACAGCATAATGATGTGTTAAATTTACATGAAATATATTAAAAATCGTGAATGTTTATTGTCTGTATGTCTGTCTTAAGTCTGCCCTGTTCACCTTTGGTGTGTATGTGCCACCTTTTTTTTCTGCATTATTTCACTCAATAAAAAGAGCATGAATGTGTTTTAAAATGTGTACATAAATCTCTTGTTGCATCTCTTGTTTTGCACAGTGCAGTAACTTTTTGTTTCACCACTGCATAGTTTTTGTACATCAAACTTATCTTCTGAATCATTTTTTTCCAGCTGGCACTCAGTAATGTTAGTTCTTGACTTGTTGGGAATAAATAGCAGTAACTTAAGTTAGATACAGGAAAGTTGATACAAAAAAAATAAAGCAAAATGAACTGATTTGTGGCATACTGTTGAAATAACCTACAATTTAAACTTTGGGTTTGAGGAAAGGTATCAAAGCTTCTCTGGTATGTGTTTATACATTTTTTTTTTTTTAGGAAAATCCAACATACCATGCAGTACCTGGAAACAAATACAATATGAGTGTTGCATAAGGTGATGAGTGTAAGGAGCTAAAAACAAAACAAAAAAACCCCCACAATTTTCAGTCCTTGTCATTTTTACAAATTAACAATTGCTGATGTTGAAACTTCATCACAGTTGACCAGAATGTTGACCAATGACATGTTTAACTTTGGACGTGGCTAAAGAAAAATGTGGATCAAAGAAAATTTAACACAAGCATTGACGTTATAGTACAGTACAACTACACTTCAATAATCTGCCTTCAAGCAAATTAAATTGTGATGGATAAGATAATAATCTATATTTAAAATGTGCTTTTGAAAACAGAGTTACAAAGTGCTTTACATGTCAATAATTAAAATAGACAAGACATGAAAACAACAACTTTTAAAAGAACTTATAAAAACACTTTAGCATATAAAAACAGTTGAAATAAAAACTCGAGTAAAATCACGAAAGTCTGTCCAATGAAAGTATATTTTAAGAGGGGACTTAAAAGAGATCACTGACTCAACGGACCTGATTTCCTCGGGCAGATTGTTCCAGAGCATCTTGGCCCTGACAGCAAATGCTCTGTCCCCGGTAGTTTTTGTCCTGGCATGTACAGCACAAAGAGGTCGGAGATGTATCTGGGAGAGAGACCAAGAAGAGCATCAGTAAAATCTTAAAATCTATTCTTAAACATACTGGAAGCCAGTGATAAGAGGCTAAAACTGGAGTGATGCGATCCCGTCTCTTCCATCCATCCATCTTCTATCCGCTTCATCCTCTTGAGGGTCGCGGGGGGCTGGAGCCTATCCCAGCTGACATTGGGTGAGAGGCAGGGTACACCCTGGACAGGTCACCAGATTATCGCAGGGCTGACACATAGAGACAGACAACCATTCACGCTCACATTCACACCTATGGACAATTTAGTTATCAATTAACCTAATGATCCCGCCTCTTGGTTCTGGTTAAAAACCTGGCAGCCGAATTCTGTTTCAGTCTGGAGCTGATTAATAGATTTTTGATTCAGGCTAGAAAAGAGGCTGTTGTAGTGATCCAGGTGTGAAGAGATGAAGATGTGTAAAATTGTCTCAGTGTCTTTAAAAGTTAAAATGGGTTGTATTTTTGAAATATTTCCAAGATGATAAAAACATGATATAATACGGTAGATACAATGTGATACGATACAATACGATACAGTAACACTGAATTTATCCTGTGGGAAATTGCTGAAGGAAGGAACAGAAAGCAACTATTGTTGATTTCGACTGGTACAGCGTCCAAGTTCTGTGTTCATAAAATGTTATTGCACATATGTTCTTAACCTTCATTTATCTGAGTATTGATTTCTAACCATACTGCACAGCTGCAGTAGTATCCACTTTCCTGCTCTTCAACTGGATGAGCTGCTGGGAATTAAAGGGCCTTGCTCAACTACATTTTGGCAGCTTTTTATTAATTCTGATTATTGGGTCTACTGCGATTAAAAAACAGCACCTTTACGATTCCATTGTTTTTCCACCCAAACTCACAAAGGTTTCCTAAGCTCTGTGAGAAAGATAATTGGCTGATAGACATATGGTTGTTTCCTAATTTGATTGGCCTTTGGCTCACTGTGTGCTGGACTGGCTTTTGGTAAATGAACTGCTGTTGCCTCATTAGAGTCGGGTCTGTTTTATCACCCAGTAAACTGTTGAGACAAACAACAGAGTGGGCTGTTATTTTTCATCTGCTAAAACTAAGTACCTCACTCCTCCAGGGTTTAATTATACTGTGTTGAACTGAATTAGAATTAATGAAACACTTTGTAATACTCTGGGACAAAAGCTGCACATCAAATTGTCCTACTTTTCACACTGCAGATTGAACGTGTGTGCACTGTAGGTGGCTGCGTACATTATGGATATTCGTTTTAATACATTATGAGCAATATGTTTATGCATGTCAATGCTCTAACCACAAGGGCAGGAAACTGAGCATAATTACTTACAAATTTTACAATGTTGCACAAGACTATTTTCATCTGGTAAATTTCTGTTGTTGTTTTCTGTGTTTTTGTGTGTTTGTCTTTAGCTGGAGACGAGTTTATGTGTAAGACTCCGGCCATATCTGACATCGTTATTCTGGTGGATGGCTCCTGGAGTATCGGCCGCATCAACTTCAGGCTGGTCAGGACGTTCCTGGAAAACCTGGTCAAGGCCTTTTCTGTGGAGTTTGACAAGACCAGGATTGGTGAGGAGGTTTTGATTCTGGGTTTCAGGTGTTTCAGCGTAGAAACTACATTCAGACCAGCTGAAGGATTCATTTAAGTACCTTTTTTAGCTTGTTGTCCAACTACGGTTTAACCAACATATTTTGAATTATACTCTAAATTCCAATGTTTGTAAAGATACCAAATACATCAGGGTGAATTTTAAGGAAATGTATATAAAATGATAAACAAGATTTTTTGTTTACAGTGCAATGTTGCAGCCATTGACTGTGAAAAACATGTTGCGATTGACCTCAACATGACATGTGTGCAGGCCTGGCTCAGTACAGCGGCGACCCCAGAATCGAGTGGCATCTTAACACTCACACCACCAAAGAGGCTGTGATCGATGCTGTGAAGAACCTGCCGTATAAAGGAGGAAACACACTGACAGGTACAGTATGCTGCCAACCAAACCCCAAGCTTTCCTCCAGTTATTATGGTGCTCCATACTCATCACATTTAACAGATAACACTTTAGAGGTTGACTTGGACCAAAGCCAATCCTCTACCTCAGCTCATTAAAATCACTTCAGTGCAGTTCATTTCAGCTTAGAGTTCAAACATCTGTGACCTCACAGCCTGAAGCTGATAAGAGCAGACTGAGAGTCAAAAGGTCACTGCAGTTCAATTAAAGTTTTGACATCAATGTGACCACACACAGCATTTGAACATTAACAGCAGCCCCACTGATATTCAGGAAGTATGAAACTAAATTAAATTCTTAACAATGTCATGGGTCTTGTCGCTGTTTCAATTTTAGTTTTACCTTTAAAATTACTGTATCATCATGAGGAGGCACAGGTGTTAGAAGCAACAGCTAATATATCCCCTTCCAAACAAAAGAAGAGTTCATTTTATTCAGTTGTTCCTCTGGGTTCCTTACAGTCAAGATGGCAGTGAAGATGATTTACTCGTCTCTTATCATGCCTAACTTTAGTGGATATGGAATTAATCTGCAGTTGTTCCAGATCAAAATGAGACCAAACTTTTTTTGTGGATGTCGGTTTTTGAGCCAGGACAAATGCCACACTAGGTAAGGCTTGTTTGTAGCCTTGCCAGTTGCTGGTAATGCCAAACTGAGGCAACTCTTGCTTAGTAGTCAATGACGTTATAAAACACAGATTCAAAAATTGTGACCCACAAGAGGTCTTTGAGCATACAGTCATGAATATGCACAAGACAAAATATTGCTTATGGATCCAGTAGTATCGATGGTTATCTGCAGTAAGACAGATTTACAGATGCATGCACACGCCAGGCTTACTCCATCTATCCATCCATCCATCCGTCAATCGATTTTCACCCGCTTATCCGAAGCCATGTCATGGGGGCAGCAGGCTGAGCAAAGTATTTCAGATGTCCCTCTCCCCAGCATGGCTGTCCAGCTCCTCCTGGGGGACCCCAAGGTGTTCCCAGGCCAGATGAGATATATAATCCCTCCAGCGTGTTCTGGGTCTACCCTGGGGCCTCCTACCTGTGGGACGTGCCCGAAACACCTCTAATGGGAGGTGCCCAGGAGGCATCCTGATCAGATGCCCGAACCACCTCAACTGACCCCTTTCGACGCGAAGCAGCAGCGTCTCTAGTCCAAGCTCCCTCCGGATTTCCGAGCTCCTCACCCTATCTTTAAGGCTGAGCCTAGCCAACCGTCTGAGGAAACTCATTTGGAACGCTTGTATCCACAATCTCATTCTTTCGGTCACTACCCAAAGCTCATGACCATAGGTGAGGGTTGGGACGTAGATGGAGCAGTAAATCAAAAGCTTCGCCTTCTGGCTCAGCTCCCTCTTCACCATGATGGTCTGGCACAGCGCCTGCATCACTGCAGACGCTACACCAAACCACCTCACATTCCAATCTACCCTCACTCAAGAACAAGACCCCGAGATACTAGAACTCCTTCGCTTGGGGCTGTAACTCACTCGCAGTCCAGAGGGGGTTGACTATTAGGGGGCAGCCCTACTAAAAACAAAATTTTTTACTGTCTCGAGTTTTTTAAATATCTGTATCTGTATATATATGTAAACAAATATCATTACCAGCAGAAATATGGGTATCAGAAATGTTTTACTCCCTAATATCGGCTTGGCATCCGCCCCAAAAATCCAATTTTCGGTCGGGCTCTAATTTATAAGGCTTTGAACTGACTATAAACAGACTGCCAGAGTTACATCTTCAGAGTGTGTTGGTCAACAGGCTGAGTAAATGAACAGGAAGCCAGCAGGGCTTAAAACAGACATAAAATATTAGTAGAGTCACTAATGGAGCCAACAGAAGTTAGCAGCTCATTATGTTAACACACTCATTAGACTAAACGCTTGTCGAGCTATTAATGACACTTGAATCTTATCATGTCCGTTAAGTCTTTGAGCCAGGATGTCACAAGTCATTTCAGCTGTCCTCACTTCACCTCAGAGGGGAACAGAAAGAGCAATCATACTGTCAGCCACGGCTTAACCTACTCTCACAGCTTTCTTATAAAGGACTATAAGTGGCTCTAATTTTCGGCTAACTGTCATTTTAAACAGTAGCTGACACTTAGTCAAACAAATGATGGATACAGCATGTCAAAACAAGTATAAGGAAAATGCAAAAAATGTCTTATTTTCCAGACGACTGCACACTGATTGATTGAAGGATTTAAAACATACTTGATGTCATGTCATGGCCCACTTCTGTTTTGCATTTAGCTTTTGTCAGTATTTTGATATTTTAAATCCATTTCTATTCTGCTAGATATTAGGATATGTATGATTTCCATCCTAAAGCCACTGTATCTTTTTTAAAATATGGTTTGTGTTGTTTGTTTTCTGCACAAAGATTGATGTGCTGCATAGTTTTACCACAGGAGCTGCAAACGTAAAACCTGCTGGGGACAACAACAAATAATGCATTTAAAAATTTGAAAAAAGCAATCACTGAGTATATTAAATCTTTTGAATTAGCTGTATTTTTTGCAGGGGAAATATTAACGTCTTGTTTTTTGGGGGGGTTATTTTGAGTTTTCTCATGTTGTACTTAAATTCTCCCTGCAGCCTCACAGACTATGTTCATTTTACTTCATTATTTGAGATGTTTTGGATTGTGACATCAGAACCATGGATGCTTGTTGTCAGAGTGTTGCGTTGAGGAGTTGAGGACCTTTTTCAGGAGTTGGGCTTGGGCTGGGCGATATAATGACTATATATGATATATTGATATATTTTCAAGCAAGATATCGATTTAGACAACACCATTTTTATTGATATAGGGTCAAGTTGTGTCACATAACACACGCCAGTGTTCATCTCTCCTCTCTCACACTCTGCACAGCTCCACCCACTCACCCACTCACAAGTTCTCTAGCAACACTTAGAGAGACACAGAGCTGCACCTCTGCTTACTACGACTGTTAATTAGTTTACAGTACACTCGCTACACAAAATCAGTCTGTGAGATGAATGAAATTACCACAGCAGCACATGTACAATAATGTGGGCCTTTTCAACTGTCACTTTTGACAGAGCCCAGTCAAGCCATGCTGCACTGATTTGTGTTTCCATTATCAGTTAGGACACGCTGTGCCAAGCTGACCTGCACCAGAGATAGACCTTCTCTGGAATAGGTCCGTAATGTAACAGTGTCTGTATTACACTGTATTCATTGTATTTCTGTATGTGTCTGACCAGGTCTGGCTCTGACCTTCATCCTGGAGAACAGCTTCAAACCCGAGTCTGGATCCAGGCCTGGCGTTCCCAAAATAGGAATCCTCATCACTGACGGGAAGTCCCAGGATGATGTGATACCCCCCGCACAGAGCTTGAGGGATGCTGGGATAGAATTGTTTGCCATTGGTACGTGTCACATACACTAAGACTAACAATCCAGATTGACACTGACTTGAAATGAATGTAAAACAGAAACATTTTACAAGACTTTGTTGATGGTAAAAATGCCTCAGGGCAGTCACCTGACTACTTTGTTGATATTTGGATCTTGGATACACATATATCTATAGTATACATGGAACACATTGCTCTTTATTTTTTCTTAGACCCACTGTCTTTACAGACTGTTGCTTTCAAGCAAAAAAGGCAAAAATCTTGATTAGATTTACACTTTACTTCATAAAGCTGAATAAATGTTCGCTGTGATGGATTACAAGTCTCCACAAGTTGATTTTCATATTGTACTGAAATGAGCTGAGATGCCTGGAAGGAAGAAAGTTAATCTCAAAACTTAGTTGTTATTTGGAAAATGGTTAGAAGGGAAAATGCACTTGTTTTGGAGTTATTGGGCTAACAAAACAAAATCATGTTTGCACAACTAAAATTCTCCACAAGTTGAATTTCATATTGAACAGAAACAAACTTAAATGCCTGGCAGGAAGAAAATCAGTCTTAAATCTCATGTTGTTCTTTAGAAAATGGTTGGCTGGGAAAATACATTTGTTTTTGAGTTGATTCAGAATGCCAAAGTTTTGTTCCCTTTTCATCTTTGTCAGAGTCAAATTAACTTTTTTTTTTAACATTAAGTTTGTTGTTTATGGCAGAGCACATAGACAGGGGAAGACGATGTGAGGAGGCCTGAAAAATGATTTTCAGTAATCATAGTCAGTAGTCAGGTCATCTCTGTTTGACATATTTGATTTGAAAATTAAGTATAAAGGCAAGTTTGGTGTTTACAGGGTTCCCATAGTCATGTAAAACCTGGAAATGTCATGGAATTTCACAGTCATGTTTTCCAGGCCTGGAAAAGTCATGAAATTCATTAAAAATCATTGTAAGTTTTGGAAAAGTCATGGAATTTTGTTGTGTGTAAGGAAGTTGTTACAGTAATTTTCCGTGGATAACCTTCCACGTAATGTACCATAATGACAAATTTATTTTCTGTAGCTGTCGACTAGGGATGCACCGAAATGAAAATTTGTGGCCGAAGCCGAATAATATTAAACACTTGGCCGAATACCGAGTACCGAATACTGAATATTGTTTTTCATTAGTTTTTGCAGATGAACCCCCTCCAGATTAGTGTTGTCAGGGTACCAATATTGGGACCCACTGTACGATACCAATGAAAATATCATGGTTCTGAGTAGTATCACGATACCACAATGAAAATGAGGCAGATGTGCCTTTTGTCATTTATAAAAAGATAAATCACTTTTCTATAATACATCAATGATATTTCAATGGAATAAATTACTTACTGACTTATTCATACTTCAAAAACAGCATCAATAAGTGATTAACATAGGGGGGGATCAAAATAAAATAAATAAATAAAATAAGAATCAACCAGCCACCCTCCTCCCCTGACAGTCCCTTCATAAGTAATGAACAGTCCCTAAAGTGCGGTAAGGTTTGTGGGCCGTGAACGGCTCGTTTTTCTTCTGACACGTCACAGAGGAGAAACGAGAAACGCTGTTCGGCTGGCTTGGCTGTTCAGGTACTTGTGGGCAGTCATGACGCCAAGAAGAGGATATTATGGGAGCCGACTTCTCCGTCGCCGGGTAAGCCGATGGCCGCTGTATTTGACAAGAATACATTAACGTTACTGTCTGTGTCTGTGACCCCCGTTCAACCCACAATCGGTGGGATTCGTCTTTCGTTTCTGCTGCTGGTTGAAATCTGTAGGCTGCTCGCACAGCGTGCTGAATGATTTAAGCCTACTTTGCTCGCTCAAAACTATTTTTAGTCGCAAATGCGAGTGCGGTGACGGGCGGATCGCCACACTACCGACATTTTATTCCACCCATCATGGCACGCTGTTTGATTGCGTTATCAAAACACGCCGCTATTATTCGGCCTTGCTTTTAACTTATTCCACCGAATACCGAATGTGTGTTTTTTGCAATATTCGGCCGAATATATTCGGTTACCTTCTCTCGACATTATGTAGCTCTAATATGCATGAGTGACGTTTTGTTTACCAACACAGGGCTCCAGACTAACTTTTTTTAGTAGGAGCACTGTAGCCCCTAACTGAAAAGTTTTAGGAGCACAAAGAGAAAATTTTGGGGCACACCTTAAATCATCCTGTAATGCAGTTATTCACATTTTTAGTCATTTAAACTGTATCAAAAACTATATGTAGTCTAGTGTACATTAACATTGGACTGTTTTAATTATTGAAGTATTCAGCATCACAGACCCTTATGGTCAGTGGGAGGTAAGCATTCTTAAAATAACATCTGTACAGATGTGAATCCCTGACTATATCTGACTGATCTTTAATGAAAGCTGTTGTCTTTTTTTTTTCTCTGAAAATATTAACCTTATAGTCAGACACAATTTATTCAGCCTATGTAGTTGAGGCAACAGGTCTGCTCTGCAGCAGCAAACTGATACGATGCTGATTTACATGAGAATTCATGTAAAATGGAGGTTGAACCATGAACATAAATTGTAGATCACCTGTAAAGCATTTTAATATACTACTCTATCGTAATTAAAACAATTGGAAACTGAAAACAAACTGATATATGACTCTGATAATATTTTAATGATTGTAAGGTTTATAAGTAATACCCAATTTATTGGGTTATAGTCCTGTCCTTATTTCCAAACTGTTCTGTTTTTTTTTCTGTTTTGAACACGTGTAGCCTGTTATATAGAGATGTATTAATGCATTTTTTAGTCACATGCAGTAGTATACATGGGATTTATATCTTGTTATCTGCAAGACCAGATAAGCAGGCACTATTCATTAATTTATACGACATATACAGTACAGGCCAAAAGTTTGGACACACCTTCTCATTCAATGCGTTTTCTTTATTTTCATGACTATTTACATTGTAGATTCTCACTGAAGGCATCGAAACTATGAATGAACACATGTGGAGTTATGTACTTAACAAAAAAAGGTGAAATAACTGAAAACATGTTTTATATTCTAGTTTCTTCAAAATAGCCACCCTTTGCTCTGATTACTGCTTTGCACACTCTTGGCATTCTCTCCATGAGCTTCAAGAGGTAGTCACCTGAAATGGTTTCCACTTCACAGGTGTGCCTTATCAGGGTTAATTAGTGGAATTTCTTGCTTTATCAATGGGGTTGGGACCATCAGTTGTGTTGTGCAGAAGTCAGGTTAATACACAGCCGACAGCCCTATTGGACAACTGTTAAAATTCATATTATGGCAAGAACCAATCAGTTAACTAAAGAAAAACGAGTGGCCATCATTACTTTAAGAAATGAAGGTCAGTCAGTCCGGAAAATTGCAAAAACTTTAAATGTGTCCCCAAGTGGAGTCGCAAAAACCATCAAGCGCTACAACCAAACTGGCACACATGAGGACCGACCCAGGAAAGGAAGACCAAGAGTCACCTCTGCTTCTGAGGATAAGTTCATCCGAGTCACCAGCCTCAGAAATCGCAAGTTAACAGCAGCTCAGATCAGAGACCAGATGAATGCCACACAGAGTTCTAGCAGCAGACCCATCTCTAGAACAACTGTTAAGAGGAGACTGCGCCAATCAGGCCTTCATGGTCAAATAGCTGCTAGGAAACCACTGCTAAGGAGAGGCAACAAGCAGAAGAGATTTGTTTGGGCCAAGAAACACAAGGAATGGACATTAGACCAGTGGAAATCTGTGCTTTGGTCTGATGAGTCCAAATTTGAGATCTTTGGTTCCAACCGCCGTGTCTTTGTGAGACGCAGAAAAGGTGAACGGATGGATTCCACATGCCTGGTTCCCACTGTGAAGCATGGAGGAGGAGGTGTGATGGTGTGGGGGTGTTTTGCTGGTGACACTGTTGGGGATTTATTCAAAATTGAAGGCACACTGAACCAGCATGGCTACCACAGCATCCTGCAGCGACATGCCATCCCATCCGGTTTGCGTTTAGTTGGACGATCATTTATTTTTCAACAGGACAATGACCCCAAACACACCTCCAGGCTGTGTAAGGGCTATTTGACCAAGAAGGAGAGTGATGGAGTGCTGCGGCAGATGACCTGGCCTCCACAGTCACCGGACCTGAACCCAATCCAGATGGTTTGGGGTGAGCTGGACCACAGAGTGAAGGCAAAGGGGCCAACAAGTGCTAAACACCTCTGGGAACTCCTTCAAGACTGTTGGAAAACCATTTCAGGTGACTACCTCTTGAAGCTCATGGAGAGAATGCCAAGAGTGTGCAAAGCAGTAATCAGAGCAAAGGGTGGCTATTTTGAAGAAACTAGAATATAAAACATGTTTTCAGTTATTTCACCTTTTTTTGTTAAGTACATAAATCCACATGTGTTCATTCATAGTTTTGATGCCTTCAGTGAGAATCTACAATGTAAATAGTCATGAAAATAAAAAAAACGCATTGAATGAGAAGGTGTGTCCAAACTTTTGGCCTGTACTGTATATAAATATCACACTAGCGATAGTTGAACATTTCCATGGCAACGAGTAAAACAGTCTTGAGGGCTGTCTATCAGCCGCTTGCTGTCTCTGCCCTCGCAGACTTTGTGTGATGACAGTAAAAACATCACACTAGGTCCTACTGCAGTGTGCGCAAAGGCTCAGTCTGAAAGTCCAGAGTATGGACATTTGGACTCAGCCTCCGACTTGACCGCAGCTTGTTGTCACTGCCTCCTGCTGCAGCCACCTGCTCTCGTCTACTTTGCAGGCCAGACACAGTTCATCTTGAACGAGCCTACTGATGAGTGTAGTTGATGTGATCCTTGCATTTAACTAATCACCCCACCTGGACTTTCCCCCACTTACACACACTGACCTACACTGGCAAACTCACAAACAAGCGAGTAGTTGTAAAATATACTCGCACTGACTCCAAAAATAGTCGGAAAATGCGACCATTTGGCCGCAGTCTCCATTTTCTTCTCATGTTCAGTCTCTCCCTTCATGTATGCTAGATAGCCAAAACTAAGTTTAAATAGAATTTGAATTTGGTATGTTTAAAGAATGCCAGGCAAGTGTGTTTGGCAAAACATTGTTCTTAAATCAGGAATCCTTTTTAGAGGGAGCTCCTTTCAGAGTTTGACTAATTTTTTTTTTTTAATTAAAGACTTATAATTATCGACATGTTGCATCTTCTAAAACATATTTCAAACACCTTAAATGTAACTACTTAACTGTCAGTCTGATCACTCCGTCTGTCTGTCTCTAGGTGTGAAAAACGCTGATGAGAATGAACTGAAGGCCATCGCCTCTCCTCCTGAGGAAACTCACGTCTACAATGTGGCGGACTTCAGTGTGATGAGTGACATCGTGGAAGGCCTCACCAAGACTGTCTGCGACCGAGTGGAGCAGCTCGACAAGCAGATCAGAGGTTTGGGCTCATTTCAGCCAAGTCACATGACAACAGACAGCTCGGACTGTGATTACTCTGTTGATGCCGTTGGTTATAATTATCACTACAGGAGATCCCCAAGCAATAAAAACCCAGTCCCCATCTAATATAACGTAGCAGTCTCATCTCAGTCATGACATCCCCCCACCTTCATTAAATGTATATAACACACACATGCTGCCTAAAATAGCAGGTGAAGATTTTATAATTTGACATTGTCCACTTCAGAAAAACAAGATTTTAAGTTTGCACATATTTCAGGTTCTGGTGTGAAGGGTGTTTGTCAGCCATTTGCTTAGACAGTATTAATAAAACGCCAGTATGGTAAGGATGCAGCATGCGCTTCTCTTCTTCTTCAGGGGGAGGACAACCAGCCCCCCCGCCCACCTCTGTAGCACCGCCCCGTGATCTGGTGACATCAGACATCACGGCTCGCAGTTTCCGGGTGACGTGGACCCACGCACCAGGCCAGGTGGAGAAGTACCGCGTGGTCTACTACCCAGCCAGCGGAGGACAGCCAGATGAAAAGGTACTTGGATTATTATTACCTTTAATCATAAAATTTGTGTATGAAAGTGACTTTATTATCATCATGTTTATTGCAGTCTGTTCTGTGGCACTGACCCCAGCTGTGATCCTCATACATTTTGCCCTTGGTCATGAATAGTTTTATTGTTATTCTGCACAAGAAACAAAAAATCCATTAATACAGGAATTCAGGCTGTCATTTAAATTTAAATTAATCCAATCGACTGGTTATTAAGTGGTTCATCTGTTTCTCCTGCTCCTTATCAGTGATGAGAGGGGGTTTCCTTTTGTCACCTTAATTGGTGGGACTTTGCTCCTGATTTCCCTGCAGAGGGTAAACAAAATGCTGAGATACTGATGTAATGGCTACATTTTAATTAAGGCTGCTCAGCTAAACCTTTTCGGGTCAATTCAGCGAGTTAAATTCATTTCTCAAAGTGATTTGCATCATTAATGGCAACGATTCTGCAGAATTTGCAATCAGGCGTTTATAAAACCAAGCACCTCCTTATGCTGTGGTAAAATATGTTCTGCTTCCTTAATGAAACACCCATTAAGTCTGATAAATGGTGGGGCGCTCCACACTTATTTTTGCTCAAGATCTTTTTTATTGGTAATTAAAGATCTACAAAATGCAATAAATCACAAATACAATTGGAAATATACAACCACTCCCTCTTTCAGAAAGCTGGGACACACAAAACTCCAGTAGAGGTGTCAGAGAGGTTCATGACTGCCCAAACACATGAAAAAATGTGACGGCGCCTGACTGTAATAGGGGTGTACATCACCATTTTCATCACAGTACTATATTATATTGATTCTTTGGTAAACCATACGATATTTGCCAATATTACATAGTCTGCCATAATACAGTTTTGAGTCGATGTGATTTAAAGGCCTGTGATCAACCCATTTAACATCATCGTTTACAGAAGAAGCTGCCGCCCCTTTCTTTTTACTTTTGGCCATAAAAAGATAAAAACAACACATAAATAAGTGCAGTGAAGTTTTCTTTAAACTGACTCCACGAACACATAAAACAGCACATGGGTTAAGTTAACCTTCAGGGCTTTCTATCAGAGAGACCTTTCTGGAAGAAATCTTTTCATTTTAAGGCAAACCATTATTTTTTTCCTAAAACTTCAGGAATATCTGTCTTAAAGCCCTGAAGACAAACTTCTCCCAACAGCCATAAAACATGGATTAACAACATCATTTAACATAAGAATCAAATTCAGCTCAATAATAACTGTCAAGCTTCATAGACAAAACAACTGTTTTTTGCTAATCACCCATTATTAGCTTAAGCATGTTTATACTGCATTAATTAGCCTAGCAGCTAGCAGCCTTTTTTCCTCTTCTCATAGCTTAACAAATTATATGTAACATTATTATTTCTCTTACTCACCGTTGGTTTAAGTCTCTGTATCTCCTGACAGAACAGCTCGGTTGAATTTCAGTCTGCATGCATGGTCTTTCAGCCGAACGTTGTTAAAACAGAGCAGCTAATGCTGCTGTAGTGAGAAGTTAGTGGAGTGAGATGGCCGTCCAGGAGAGTAACGTTACGTTGCGTTTTATCTCGTAACGGCATTGTTAACGTACAGCATGTGCTCTGTCTGTTGACCCCGTTTTTCTCCAAAATCCCAAATATTTCCACTGCTGATTTATTCCGGAGTAAATAATGTTATCCTCATAGTCTTTGTCTTGGCTGCTTGCCATCTGCCTGCTGCTGTTGACAAAAAGATGACAGTACGCATTGATGTTTTCACTTTGCGTCGATGATAGGGGACTGTTGATCATGGAATCGATGTATTGATCCAGACTGATGGATCGTTACACCCCAAGTGTATAACATAACAAAATTCTTCAGGTATGCGGCATTAGAGGAAAATGTTGAGAGACACCTTTTTTTATGTCAAGAATATGTCATTTCTGTTGAACACCACTCATCAGAGCCTTATCATAAATCAGACTTTAATTGTGGCAAAAACAGAAGAAACCATAAATTATTCTAAAATAATTCTACAAACCCCTGATGCTTTACCACAGAATAAGAGAGAGAGTTAATATAAAACTTGATGTAGACAGGTGTTTCTATTATTTTTTCCACCCCATTTCTTTCAACCAAGAGCAGGCTAAATAATAGAAATGCATCCCTGTGTGGTGCAATACAATTCAAACGCACCACTAACTACATCCTACCTAATAATCTCAAAGTTAAATCAACACCTTTAAAACATCTTGAACACAATCTGACCATTATAACCTTAATAAAGGAGGATTGATTACACTCGTGTTGTCTTTGACTGCAGTAGTTGTATCCAAGTGTACTTGATAAACTGGCAGCTGATTGTATTCTGTAGGTATTTCCCCAGATGACATAACTGCAGCATCTTAAGCCATTTGTGGTTCTATGCAGTAGATTTTTTAAAACTTGCTGGAAGTCTCCCTACCTTTATAACTACTCATACACGCAGTGCTATAATTTCCAGAGTTGATATTTATGTTTATACAGTTCCCTCTTATTTTTATCCAGTTTCCCTTTGATGTTTATTACAACTTGCAGCTGGAACGGCCCAGTTTCCCCACAAGGAAGACTGAGGTTTCATCAAAGCTAATCTGATCTAGTTACACTCAATTTAAATCTCTTTGGAGACGAGCTGAATGCCTACAGCAACATGTGGTGCATTTTCAACCGTGCAATATGAGCCTGCCTAATAAACAGAGGCCTTTTGGATATTTCAATTCTTTTTGACGTACAAAGTGCTGCTGTCTGTTTCAAAGTGACTTAGAGCACGAAGTCAGAGCTTATTAAAGTATTTTTTAAATAATAATGCTATCAGAGATTTAGCTCCCTGAGCACACAGCTCAAATGACTTGCAGTAATGAACATTGCACATTCGAATGATGCTGTTCAATGATTCAAAAAATGAAGACTGGAGGATGTTTATTTTTGAGTGTGAAGCAGTATTGTTGTGTCCAGGTGTAACTCCAGTTGTGATCTGTCCTTAAGGTGGTCCACGGGACAGAGAACAGTGTGGAGCTGAGCTACCTAAACTCTCTGACCGAATACCAGGTGGCTGTTTTCGCCGTCTATCGCAGCTCTGCCAGCGAGGCTCTGAGAGGAAGTGCTACCACATGTAAGTTAATATGTCGCCAAGGATACAATAAAGGCATGGAGGGACTGTTAGTGGGAATTCGGGTGGGGTTAGCTATATGTGAGGTGTAGTTTTCCTGCAGTCTCTTATAGAGTGCTGCTGGAATGAGTCCTATTACCCGGAAATGAGTAAGTATTTTTGCACTTCTGGTTCCCTCCTGTCCAAGTCAATGGGTTTACTGAATGGGTTTTTGGTTTGATGCCTGAAAAAAGTCCCAAGCCCCAAGTCACAATGTGCTCTTCACCAAATGTAATGCCATTTTAACAACAGAATAATATAAATTGAATTTATAAAAATGATTAATTATTTTTAATTTAATGTATTTTTTGTTGACTGCTGCATTGTTTTTGTACGTGACTGAAATTATCTTTGGGATCATTTTTTAAGCTGGTGCTTGGTAACGGAAAATCATTTCTTCATGGTTCTCTCCTTTGACTTAGTTGGGTGCTGTCATACTGGTTAAAACAAAGTGGATCTGGGGAATCAGTTGCTAACTTGCTGGGAATAAATAGTGTTAACGTTAGTTTATTCAGGGAATGCTTCAAGACAAGTTCAAGACACAAGTCATTGGTGTTAAAGTCAGAGTCGAGTTGCAAGTCTGCTTTTGTCAAATCAAGTCATTAAATTTGTGATACGAGTCTACACCTCTGGTAAAAAAACCCACTCGATAATTTTGAAGCTTTTATATGTCACTGAACGTCATCAGGCCGAATACGAAAACTCATCTGCTCACTATTCTGCCTTTTCAGCCTCGTTGTTTTTATACTGGCGCGTTTACAAACTCCTCTTTCTCAAACTTGTAGATTTATCAATTTATGGTATTTTTCAATTGTTAAGTAAAAAGCTTAGTGTTGGTGATGTTGAAGAAATGGGTCCGTGGTGTAGTTTGTTTATAGCCTAACATTAGCTTTTTACACATGGGGATTTCACTTTTGCTTCAGAAATCATAAGATCTGTGTTAATTTGTGAAGATTATCTTGCTATATGAAATGTTTACATATCTTAAACTTTTGTTGGCCACACAACTGATTTTCTGCAATAATATAAAATTTTATGAAAAAGCCCATAGGCTTTTTGACAAGGAAACTAATGTCTGGGTTGACCTACAAAAAAACAAGTCAACCCTGCAGCGCTCTATGGATGATACACAAACTTTTCTTGAGCATGCTGGGAAATGTCATCCCTTATAATGTCTCATCCCTGTCAAATTTGACTCACAACCCTCCAAAAAGGTAAAAGCATCATCCTAATGAACTGTGGAAGAGCAGGTTTGACTTCCTCACTCTCATTAGCTTTTACCAAGACCTCATCCAGAACTACATTACCATTTAAAGAGCCCACTTTCCCTCAACCATCTACTAACGTAATAATTTCCGACTTTTCTTCATTATTGGGACCTTTCAGAAATCCAAAGAGAGCAGGATCTCCAGGAGTTTAGCTGTCTGCTAATTTTCTGCATTGCATTCTGGTCTTGTGTAAAATATGTTTGCTGTCAGTATGCTGCTGAATGCATGAGGGATGCACGATAATATGGGCACATCATCGGTATCTGCAGATTTAGGCTTTAAAATTAACTATCACAATCGGCCAATGTGCTTTTTTTATATAACCTACACTGAAATGTATTGTATTTCATGTCTCCGTCTGCTGGTGAGCCATCACGATAAGGGTATGCGTACGTAATATGATGTTTATTCCACTACAGAAGAGACTTGATTACTAAAATTATATGGGGAAAAAAGTGGATATATCATTATCAGTATCGGTTATCAGTTAAATGAGTTGTTACATATCGGCATATTGAATATCGGCCAAAAATCCAAAATCATGCATCCCTATGGCTGAAACATTTCACTATATTGGAGCTGGAGTAAATATCTGAACATGACATCACACTGTGTATCTTTATGAGCAAGTATCCACAGAGTGACAACAATTACGCAAGAAAATAGGTAGTGTAAGCCCAGCAGATCTTTTATTTAAACTTTTTTTTTTTTCAGATGAACCTTCCCTTTTTATTGCTTTAAATTAATTGAAAGAACTGAAAGGAACAGCACATAATCTGGATGCTTACTTCAACAGAAGACACACATGGCCAGTTCTTTAGCATTTTGATAGCAACACTTATCCACCAGCACATATGTGTCGTGCTACAACAGAAAACACTGAATTTGGGCCACAAAATCTGCACAGGTGTACCATTATGCATTTGAGCCCTGATCCTCCACCTCTGACAGGACGCCTGTGGTGAGCTCTAATTCTGGTTGTGTAGCCTGAGGCCCCATCATGAGGTCTGAAACACTGAACCAGAGCCTGGCAGGATTCTCCAGCCTCTCTCAGCCTTGCGCTTGCTGATGAATGACGGGGAATTCCTCCCCGTCGGTAGAGGATGAATGCTAAGTTGCAAGTCGACCTTGTCCCAAAGTTAATGGGGTTTGGCTGCTTTCATTAGCTGCCACTGCTGGTTGAGCTGCACTGTCTTTCTCAGGCAACAAATGAGACGTGACACTAAGGACTAATAGGTGTTGAGGTGTGGGGCTGTGTGTGCCTTATAGAAAACACAAGATGTAAAACGGGGGGAAAATATGTGAAAGTGAAAAGTGAGGAGCTGACCAGTTTTGTTTTTTGAGCATGATTTGGACCAATATCTAATATTTCAAATGACAAAATTAATAGCATCTTAAACCTACATGTTTAAAGTTTAGTGAATGTATTAAAAGCAAATCGAACAGTTAAACTGGCAAGTAAAATGTAGAAGAAAATAATATTTAATTTCAGATTTTGCTGATTTTTTTTCTCTTGCTGTGAGTAACCTGGTGACAGCGACTACCTGTAATATACTAGATTTAATAAACCTTGAGCACTGGCCACACTGTTCCTGACATTAAGATATTATTTGAACTAAACTGAAAATGGAAGTCTAAAGAAAAGTCAATGCTGGAGACTTTATTTGTCGTCAAATTCAAAACGCAACACAAAATTTACGTTATTTTGGATGATTTGATTAGTTCTATTTTAATATCAACATGTATTGTTTTACAACTGATGTGTTAAGGCTCCGACACGCCAAACTGATGGTTGGCCGTTGGTCAAAGTTGGGCCTTCGGTGAGCATCTGCCACCCTGCCGCCAGTTCAGGATGTTGAATTGGCGTCAGCACAGCAGAGCCCGTCAGTGAATGAAATCACTCTAATTGGTAGTTCAGCTCAGTGAACAAGACGAAAAACTCAAGTGAGGGAAGCAAACACAGAGCTAAAGTTAAGAGTGAGTGAGGTCGAAACAAACTTGTTATAAGATTTTTTTTCTTTAGCCATTGAGGTCTTCAGCAGAAACGTTCTTTCAACACTGTTACCAACCTGCTCACTGGCTAAGTAGTGTTAAGATTGTCTTCTGTTTTCCCATTTTGAATAACAGTTACAGACGACTGCTGTCTGCTGGTGTGTAGGGGTATGTCCTCGACATACAGGGGCACTCTTGTTGCTGCGACTTCTCTGACATCAGTTTAGTGTGTCTGGGCCTTTATGTTTGAAAGAAGTCTCTTTGTGTTCTCTGTGTGTGTCCTGCAGTGGCCCTGCCCATGGTGAACGACCTGGAGCTGTTTGATATCACTCACAGCACCATGAGGGTCCGCTGGAAGATCGCCGCTGGTGCCTCTGGGTACATGATCCTGTATGCCCCGCTGACCGAGGGAGATCCTGCAGACGAGAAGGAGGTGAGGATTGTGTGTGTGTTTGTGTTTCGGGGTGGGGGAGAGTTGGGGGTTTTGTCCCTTAATTAATCATAGGTGTGTGACATGAATTCAGCCAATTCATGATCATTTGCTATTTACACAGAATGGGTGCTGGTTGTGAAAATGACAACTGCGTCGGTCTGAAACTAGGAATAACATTTGCACTGTGCTGTGCACCACTTCGCGCCAGGTATAATATATGGCCCTTTATCTCCCTCTTCAACTTCCCGCATGGCAGCAACACTCAAATTGAGCACCCTGGAGCAGCGTCATGTCTCCCTGACCTGCCTTCATGCACAGCCAAGTAACAATAGTGTTTGCCCTGAGCTACAGCATTAGTTGTCACTGTTGTGAAATTAAACCACTATTAAAATGTATCACAGCCAGCCTAACTCAGGCTATAACCCCACGATTAAGCGTAACAACAAGTAGGCTAGTCTGACATTAAACCACACCACCTGCTTCCAACTCTGCTCAGTGTGAGCGGAGACACATGCCAAACTGCTTTCCCATTTTCACATCTTTTAAAATCATAACTCAATTTAAACTAATGTTGACATCTCCCAACTTGCATTTTTGATAAGTAACTTAAACAAAAATGACATGCATTTTGGGACTGTGGTGCGTAAAGAGGAGGAGAGGAGGAGAGGAGGAGCGCAGTGCTCCACACGTCTGTTCTCTGGGATTCTTTATGAATATTTAAAGCTTATTCAGGAGCTTATTTGTTTTCTTTTTTGTTGCCTGTTATGGGTAAATGATACATGTAGAAAGTGAATGTGTAGCAGCTGTTAGGTGTTTATAGTTTAGATATTCAGACACCTCACATGTAAGCTAGACAAACATTTTCCTGCTCATTATTGTGCACAAATGTACCATGTGTACTTAGGCCTTAAGAAACCCTCTGGTGCCGGCAGATAAAAACCTCCCAGCAGAGTGCACTTTGCGGTTTTTTTTTTTTTGTTCTTTTGCGCATGCGCAAAAGAACAAAAAAAAAACAACAACAAAACAAACCAAGCACCTGCTCTGCAAAATGTCTGTGCACGGCACTAATACAGCATGATGGTCATTTTGTAAATCATGGTCCTATTTAAAGTAAAACAGACATTAGGGCATAATGTCATTTAGGGCATAGCTCCCTTGTGACTGACAAGTGGCTACCATGGCAGTCTTCTTGGGTCAGATCCACCCCTTCCTCCTCCACAGCTCCACAGTCTTGTTTAAATATGGTAGTTTTTGGTCTAAAAAAAACAAGATGGAGACAGCCAAATGCTGAACTAGAGGCTTCAAAACTCAGATCTACAAACCAGTGGGTGACATCACGGTGGCTACGACGACTTCTCTTGTACAGTCTATGTTAGAAAGACAGTGTTACTGGAGCTGACCTTTGTGACATGATTTCATTCTTCTATGCAATGGTTTACCAAGTCTGAATTAGGTACAGTAACACTTGCATTGTAAAATGTTAGATAAATACATAATATATAGTAGAACATGTCATGGAGGCCCCCATGGTTTTACAACTTCCAGCTTCCTGTTTGATATGAAGGGGGCTAGTTTCCGGTCTGACTGTTTGATAAATAGTTCTTCCTCAGAGTAAAAGAAGAACAAGAAAAATTAACATTAGCAGAAACAAATATTGATGTTTTTGTACATTGTGCAAAGAACTAGTAGAGTCAAAGAAAAGCTGACAGAACAGAGCTGATGTGGACGTTGGATCGGCAACACAAGAACATTGAGTTATGTCTCACAGCGTGACGATCATACAGGACAGGATTTTTTGCTTTGGTTAAATTATTTTGCCAGTTCTGACTCTTCCTGTGGTAATAGCCATCTGAGTGTCTGTCTTTTGTAATTGTAGTGTTTGAATTTGTAAACTCCTGGCTCCACTCTTCTCCTTTTTTGTCTGCAGTTAGTTTTGGGCTTCTTTCTGTCTTTGGCCTGATGGGTAAGCGTTATAGGAACTCTGTCTACCTCCTGAAGTTCCTTTGAAATTGTCTCTTTAAAGATGGTGACTGTTGGAATCGACACAGACTTCAGCTTAATCAAACTGACCTGTGTAGACGCCTTTGTAATTGTAATTGAGTTACTTCAAAGTAAGAGTGTGCTTTGATGTGGCATTTCTGTTATTTTTCAATGCATTTTGTGTATCAAGCACATCAGCCTTTATACTCATTAAAATCCTCAGTGAGGAGATAAGACGGAGGTGAGAGGATGGGATGAAAGAGAGGAAAAAAAACGAAAAAGACAAAATGCAGTTGGCAATCTGTGAATGTAAAAATTGTGAGTTAGCCAAGGAGAAAAATCTGGTGTTCCTGACCAATTTTTTGAAAATTAAATAATTAAAGAGGAATATTGCAAGTCGAGCCACAGCAACAGCTTCTTAAGGCAGCATAGTAAACAGCATGGCAAACCCTGAGCAGCCTCCCAGCGACTCAGTGGCCCTTTTTTACAAAGAGATCACGCTACAGGGCCACCTCAAAGTCCAGCCTTTACACCTTCTTTAAATTTTTACAGAACCAAACAACCGTGGCATTATGATGTCTCCGTTTGTGATTTTAGATCGCAGAAGCTAAAAAGGCGTGACGGGTGTGACCTGTAACCCACTGTAGCGTTGGCCTCCAGTGTGACATAACATAAACATCGGCAGCACTTTCTAAACAAAAACAATGACATAACATGGCAAGAACAATCATTTACCATCCCTGTTATATGGCGGCTGATCCTGTCCTCCAAAACACTAGTCAGCACTGGGGTTTCTGTGAAGTGCTGTAAAATTTAGTTGATTCAAAACACACCTAAAACACACATTAAACCTGGGTTAATAGAGACAATCTAAAACTCAACTACACAAATCAGCTTCACTATAACTCGCAGCATTCACAGACGAAGCATTTGTCTTTTGTTTGACACATTTTCCCCACAAATACAACATGCTAATGTTTTTAGCACAAGCCTATGGCATTTTACATTGTATGAATTAGCCTAGAAGCTAGTGGACTTTTCCTCTACTCATATGAAGCCAGGGACAATGGCAATATTTAACAAAGGAATTGTTACAAACTTACAAGGTTCATCGACAAAACAACTGTCTTATACTGAACACATTTTCAAAACAAATATAACATGCTAACATTTTTAGCACAAACCTATGGCATTTTACATTGTATATATTAGCCTAGCGACAAATGGAGATTCTTTCTACTCATATGAAGCCAGGATAAATCACACACACTGTGGGTTGCACACATAACATGTAGTCATTGCGTCATACCGGTCCCGTTGATTTAGTGTTGTTACCACCTCCTCTGCTGGCTTAATGGCAAAGTAACTGGATTCCCCCATTTTGTGATTGTACCTTTCATAAAGAATGCAGAGTAATGGCGTGATAGTCCCTCCTTGAACAGGCAGTGTAAAGGGGGCTAATGGTGCACAACCCTCTGTAACTGGGGGAAAACAGATCTGCTGCCCTCAGAATTACATTGCTTTAATCCAAAAAAAAAAACTGTTAAAGGACCAGTCAGAGGGTAAAACCTAATGAAAAGCTTTCAGCTGGTGTTAGAGATCAAAGGGAAGAAAACTGAATATTGATAGAAAAGAGAAACACATTTCTGGACAGCCACATACTGAGACAAGACAACAGCTAAGAAAACACCAAAACCAAACTGGAAAACAAAAGATTTAAACATGCAGGTCACCGACAGGTAAATGCAGCAGTGAAGCAAGATGAGACAGAAGAGGAAGTGGAGGAGAGGTGTGAAGTCACCACCACCAGTCATCTATATCCCTTTCCCATCAGACCTCATTACGCCTGCCGTCACATTCCCCTGCAGGCAGAACGCAATAAAAACAATCTAGGAAGAAATTCAGAATCAGGATGGATGCTTTCCAGTGGCAAGGATGAGCCAGGTTCTGAGGCTTTGCTGTTGGAGCCTGGGCTTGGCCAGCTCGTGCTTGTGTGGCTTCCACTCGTGAGCCATGTGGGGACTCGTATGGGCCAAAGCCAGAGTCAAAGCCCATCCAGTTTGACTTAGACAAGTGCTTTCATCCACCAGAGCTCCAGGGGAGCAACAGTGGACTTCAATACAGTCTGTACCCAAGAGAGAGACACACAGTAAAAGATGTGAACAGCAACAGGGAGATTTGGTTTAAATGGGCTCCGAAGACCCGTGTCCCTCAAACTGTTTTCCTGCCAACAAAAAAACAAAAGTGAGAAGGACTCAGTTTGTGTGAGGGAGTGACTTTCTGTCAGAGAAGGAAATGCTTCTCCTCAAGCTAACAATTGATTTCAGAAACAACAATTGTATTGAACTCAACTCAGAAAGTTTTGACTTTTCTCTTAGGATTATCATCAATAAAGATCTAATTAGCTAATTTAACCTCTGATGTTTTTCTCAATGGATATTTTGATAGTGATTTTTATTAAGGCCCCGATCACACTGAAACATGTTGCCAGAAATGCAAGTAGAAAAGCAAGCAAGTCTCAATCGCACATTCAGCCATGCTCTGGGCCCACCAGGCTGATTTGCTTGACATGAAGGGGCTGCACCTGGACTTTAAGCTCTCCACTGAGACCCAGACTAATGAAAACCTTTGAGGTCAGTTTGGCAGGTTTTCACACCAATACAGCAATCTAAATTTTGTCGTGTGTTTGTTGGGGATGCACCAGTTATCAGCAGATATATTGGCAGGGGCAGATATTAGCCTCGTTGCCTGCTGTTGGCCCTTCTGCAAATAAGATGACATTCATCGCTGACAGTGACCAATGCTTTCCTGTTGTGTCACATCTATTTTGCACAGGCTAAAAAGCAGGGTTTGAAACTCATGTTGTCCCCTTGTCCTGGGGACAGTAGAAAATGTGTTGGTAATGAAGGGACATGCTTAACTCACTATTGACACCTCAGTGGATGCAACCTGTTGTTGCACTGATAATGCGACAAATTAACAACAAATCCATGTTGACACTAACAGGAGGAGAGCTAGTTAGCTGTTAGCAGCCAGTGGCAGGAACCAGGCCCCCAGGAAGTGCACCGGGCTTTGAAGCCAATTTTTGTAGTGGTCAAACAGTGGTACTGCAACTTCCGGGGTCTGTCTCGTGATGCCAGACTTTTTCCCATACACTTACATTGGAAAAAGAGACATCTATAAATCAGTGGATACACTTTTTTGAGTGTCACTACCCCCACAAAATGACTGGTTTCACTATCAGGATTTAATCTATTCAGTCCGATAACATTTAAAAAGTCTAAAAGAGCAAATGATTAAATTATTTTGTCCCCATTCAAGTTAGGAGAGCGCTAAACGCCACTTGGCTGGCCAAAGTTGACTGTCCTCAGCCGTGTTTGGCTGTGCTCGGCAGCTGTAAGTTTCTAGTGTGCCTGCTTTATAGCAGCGCTGATCATACAGAAAATTTCATATTGTGGAAAAAAGCGATTTTGGCTTCATGTGCCATTAAGCAACTTTCATAGGAATGAACGTAGGTAGTGTAATGAAGGACTGAACAACTTACACATAGTTCAGTTATTTTTTTCACTAAAGATTTCTTTGTGTCCCTGGCACAGAAGGGGGAAAAACAGCAACAAAATAACATTGGTGTTGGTACCAGGTCTTGGTGAAATTGTTATCTTTAACACTGGTATCGATATGGGACCAGAATTTCAAAATCAGTGCAGCCCTAGTATTTGGTTATGTATATGATAGAGGACATGACAGCAACAGGGCCAAGCCAACATGCCTCCTAATGCTTATACTACCTTGTATGTGTGAACATCAATAGTACAAAAAAAATGAAACTAGGCCAAAATTAAATGTAAATATACTCTACAGGAATGGGAACCTGCCGATGTATGTAACAACCATTTAATTTAGGCTCAAACAGCAATGGAGTATCTCTGGAACATGAACATCTTCATGTCGGCAGCATGTTTTGAGTCAGTACCCAGATCCCTGTTTAAAATTCTGCATCAGTTATGAAGTATGACTCCTAAAATTTGGCAGTACATCTTATTCTCTCAGGCTCCAAAAGGAAACCAAATTATTCATGGAATGATCAGAGAAGAAGAACAGATGGATAAACATTTGTCAGGGCCTCCGTTCTGCCAGATTTTTTTTAAACATCCGTTTTGTGTTTGTCAGAAGGTGAATGCTGGTCAAGTTCTGGGTTTATGGCCATCATGTGTTAGCAGCTGCATTACAGTGGAGTTAATCATCCGGCTGGAAACTGAATCAACCTCTGATCTGGCATCAGACTGTGATCAGTTTGTTAGAAATCATTTCACCTCTGCATGACAAATATCAGCTTACAGATAGAGAGAAAGGCATATATAATTAAAATACCGTAAGCTGTGTAATAAAGCTAAGTATAATAATGAGAATAAATGTAACTGATTTATAAAGCATCTTTCAAAATGACAACTTGTTTTACAGTAAAGAAATGAAGAAAATTGAAAAGAAACAAGAAAAGTTTTACAGCTTTGAAATGGTGCATTAAGGTTCTTCAGACACCTGGAGTTTGATCATATATGTCACAGCTTAGATCATGAGGCACATGGAGCCTGAGTGGTCCCACCTGCTGACAGTAGGAGAATAAAAAAGGGCACAGCTCCATTCAGAACTCATCTTATGTAATCACAGTTCGATTCTCTGCTCGTCTGGACAGGACTGTGCATTGATGGAGGGATGATGGAAGAGTAGATGTGCTGAGCGGTAGATGATACGATAGATAAAAGGGACAGATGCGTGAGAGACAAGATAAGATGGTGAAAAGAGAGATAAGGAAACACTGCATCCTCTCTCTGCTAAAGGCACATACCTTCATGCTCTGTGCGCGTGTCTGCAGGTGAAGGTGGAGGGCTCGGTGAACGAGGTGGAGCTGGAGGGATTGACTCCTGACACGGAGTACACGGTGACGGTTTACGCCATGTATGGAGAAGAGGCCAGCGACCCCATGACCAGCCAGCAGACCACATGTGAGTCTCACACACACACACACACACACACAAACGCAGCACTGAGCTGATCAATCAATTAACTGATAAAACCATGGACAGAAAATAATAGACTGGTCCCCTGAGATTAATAAATCCACATTCAAATGTTCCCTTTAATTAATTGCCTCAATTTAGCAATGTGTGACAGTTTGTACTACATCATAATAAACAAAGTGGTGAGCAGCTCAGAACAGAGATCTGTCCTCGTCTCTGCTTTTACTCCACGCATTGGAGATGTCTGTCCATTTGTCTTTGTCCTGTCGACTCCTATCTTAGATCTACAGTAAATACATGGATGTACATCGGTTAAACACAATCTTGTCTTATCAACATCCCATAGATTTGGTTTAAGACATAACAGATCATGTCACCATAAAGACCACCAGTGATCAGTATTACAATTTATTGTGATTTTTGTCTATTTTTTCAACACTATACCATGGGAAACAAGCAAGCAGCAATCTCTGGGGCTGAGAAATGAAGCCAACATGGAAGGGCCGAAAACTGCACTGTCTTTAATGGCCACTTGAGGCTGGCTGCAATAGTGAGTCATTCTCATAGATCCCCAGTTTAAAATGCTCAATTTCACAGCAGAAATAAACATGTTAACAGTCTGGTACAAAAACAGTTTTTGTCTCTATAGCTTCTTTCCCCATTCAAGACAATTCTATATAACTTATGTTATCAAAGCAGAAATTTGCACATAATTAAGGATGTGGCTGCATTGAGTGACAGGCCCTCTGAAAGGGTCACCACCGTCTATGAGTCAGATGCACCCCTTGCTCCACAGCTCCACACTCTTGTCCAAATATGGTCACTTCTGGCTTCAAAAAACCAAGATGATGGCTAGGTCCATTATTTTTATACAGTCCATGGAGATAAGTTGAATCATAAACTTCTAGAGACTGTATATAATGAGGTATATTTCCAAAACAGTGCACATCATATGTCAGTTGGTGTGACTTTTATATCAGCAGCATCATATGCTGCATACAGAAATGGTAAATAATGGTGCTTTCAGACCCGAGTCCACTTGCTTTGGTCTGAATCAGGGACTAAGTTTGTCACAAAGTTACATAATTGCCTAGAGTTGGTTCATGTTCTCATGAAAGCATTTGAATGTGGACGGGATGAAATGCCTTGTGCGAGAAAGCTTCTCTTGATTGGTCAAAATTTCCATGTGAAAAAAATCCAGGAAGTAAACATGCATTGGATGTGCTGAATGTGCATATTAAAGCAGTACAGGAGGAGGTGCACATTAATAATCCTCCAGGTCTGTAACATGCAGAGAGTCAGGGTGGTGGAGGATGAGATCCCCGGTGCTGGGGTTTGTGCTGGCTGAATTCAAGTTGCTAAAGCCGCTCACTGAAGGCCAGTGCCACCTCTACATGGACCAAAATTAAGCAATTGAAATGTTAAAAAAATATTGCAATAAGTGAATGATTAAGTGAATCATTTTTTTGCTTAGTGAAGAACCTGGGCTTTAAATGTGAAAGTCATTTTAGCGAACAATTTCAATAAGTTGAGGCACAAATATTTCTTAATGAGCTCTGTAATTTGCTTCCATATAAATTATGTGTCTTGTTTCTTGACATTTCCTTTCAGGTTTTGTTTAATTATGCAGCTACATCTTTGAAGAGAGCAATCAAGAAGATCAGGAAAAGTAAATGACATTGTGCTTTCCAAGACTCCCCTTAAGTTAAATTGAAATGAGCAACTATCATATTTTATATTACACACATCATCTCTTGGTTTGCTCTTTCAACACAAGCATCTGTTCTTTACATAAAATGTCAGTGAGGGAAAAATCACTGCCGCTGATTAGTCTCTGGAAGTCAGCAACTGGGTAATGCATACTGGTCTTTCCCTGTCACACAGAAAGAAGAGAGAGCCAGATTAGGAGAATCAGTTCTCATTGAGAAAGACCTACACATACACATGTGCACCTGTACTTCTATGCTTGTAAGGACACTCGCCGGTACAGCACAATACATTCCCTAGTCTCTAAACCCTAATCAGCATAACTACAAGTCTCACGCCGACCTTTACCTAAACCTAACTCTGCTCTGAAACTAAGTTTTACCCCTCAAACAGTCCGAACTGTCCACAATGTACTCATTTTACAAAAACATGTCCTCAAGTCAAATTGGTCCTCACAAAGATAGAAATACAAGGTCACACTCATTCTCACACAGTAAATATGAATATCACTGAGAAACTGTGAATGAGCTTTGCTAACTGTTGATGAAATTCCATTTCATTAAATCCCTGACAGATATTATGACCCTCTGAAGTCTCATCTCTAGATGCACTCACATTTCATTTACCACCACAGGACACTGAGATTTACTCACAGCTGTCTGATGTTGACACATCTCCTGAAAATGTATGTGGAGAGCACTTGCTTTTAGAAACCTTACAGTGAAGTGTAGGCAGTTTCTAAAGATCTGGAGTGCCACTGAACTTAGTGATCAAGAGGAGGCAGCTTTGTACTCCAAACGCTACAGCAGCTAATTTCTCTGATCAGCGCTCTCTCTGCTTCTAATCACTCAAATCAGCTGCTGCAGATACGTTTCATTTGCAAAGTATTTGCATGCAATTACGTGGCTTTTCCAGGATGGCTGCAGCATGTTGGAGTTGCGTCTCGGCACGTTTTCTGTCCCCGACAAAACTGGCAACCACCGTTGCCAAAATCACTGCGTGGCTTCCTCTTGCTGTGCTATTTTTTGCACCTCACTTTCATTTTTAAGAGTTTTGAAGCCTTGGCGAGTGTGTCTCCCCCCTCTGCCCCCTCCATATCCCCAGCATGCCCACTAATTAATGTTTTATGAAGCCTCCTTTAAGGTCTGTGGCCTGTGGCTTAAAGTCAGGGCATGTTTTTGTCTTTATGATGCGTGTAAGGGTTTGAATCCAGGTCGGATAAGGACGCCGGCGGCTGTTGGGGGGGGGAGAGTTGAGGTCTCTTTCAGATTACTTTTCATTTCCTTCATCCATGCAAGCAGGGCAAGCACGCCTCCATTCACCCATCCAGACATCATTTGTGCATACATTCAGTCATCCATTATGTTGTAAGTTCATTTCTCTTTATGTATATTTAATCATTCATTCATTATGTGCAAGAACATATCACATGAATCTCCTCTGACAGTCAGATGTGTTTTTGCAGTGATTATGCCTAGAGGGATGATGGGGTGCATGATTGTATTTTATCAGCATAGGGCATTTATCGAAAACTAAATTGATTTTAGTCCACATTTGTGGTTTTCTGCACTGCTCTGCTCATCAGCCGGTGGTCACAGTTTTCCCCTGTTTCTTGTTTCCTGATGCATCTGGACTTGCGGGAGATGAGTTTAATGTGCTTTTCACTCAGCATGTTTATTTATAATCACTCAGACCCCATCACTCTGCCTTCAGTTGCCTCTCGTCCCTCATTTCATCCAGTTATTTAACTGTTGTTTCTGTCTTTGTTAAGAAAAAATGAGCTTTAATGATGGCGGCAGTGAAAAGAGGCCACCACAGCTGCAAAGAAAAGGACCTTGATAAGAAGAGAAGCAGCATGATGGAGATAAAAGATAAAAGCTCTTTTTGCAAAATCAGACTTCATATTGGCTGTGATCATGACACGCAGTTTTTACATTGTGTTATTCACTGTTAAAAGATCATGCAAGTACACCATGTGCCAATGATGTTGCGAGGCAGAGGTCCTGCTTCTCTGATGGATTTAAATCTGAAAAGACACAGTAAACTCACCGTCCATGCATGAGTCACACATGAGTGAATGCAGGGAGAGTATCATGTGCTGAGGTGATACTTGCACTTAATGTGGGCAGAGCTTGATGTGATGGACAGGAAAAGGTAGCTATCGGCTGGTTAAACATGGCAGCAATCAGTGCACCCCCACACAGACACGTCCATTGCTATTGGCTGAGGCTGCAACTGTGCTGGTCAAAGTTCATGTCATATCTGCCCCTTCGCTTGCATTAAATGGAAGTGAACGGGAGGCCAGTATTTGCCGGTGTCAATGATGCTCGTGTGAGTGTGCCCTAATGCTACATTCTAAACAAAAAATCTGTACTGAAATCACAGTAACAGTGGCATTGCGTGACTTTGCTATCTTCTTATAGTCTTCTCCTGCTTTATGGGCATCAGTTATTTTAGTTTTCATAGTGCTAGGCAGCTGTTTAGAGGAGCCCATGGCTGCTTATTGTTAGGCCAAGGTTTCAGGAGTCAGAGTATTTAAAAAGCTTTGAATTTTGCATCACCTGGCCTTTCCTACCGATGACTGTGAACAAGCCAGAGCCCTGACAAGCTAATTAAAGTCTGAGACCCTGGTAAAAATTGTCCGAGGGTTGAAATGTCCTGGGGTGCTCAAACTTTGCATGGTGCTCCTTTCCTTTTTTCATTCTAAAATTGTATTAAACAAAAATAATACTTTAATCTTGCTTAAAATGCTGATAAGCATGTTTCAACTTTGCATGCCACTGTAATCGTGCTTCTGATCGATACTCTCTTGTGTCATGTTGATGAAGACCTGATGATGATTTAGTGTCCAGGTGACACACCGTGTTGAAAAGATATTTTAACAGGCGGCTGCCATTTTCAGTATGTCCACAGTTTGTCTCACACACACAAGAGGCTGTTTTGTTTTTAGTCTCAATGAGTGAAAGGAAAACAGGAAAACTCTTGAGAGCTTATTATACTCAGCTCTCAAGATGTGATATAAAGATATATATATACTGTCTGTGGTTTTGTCAATAAAGTTTTCAGATTTGCAATTTTGTTTAATATTCAGATACATGAATATAACTATATTTATAACATCAAACACCACAATTAAAAAAATACATATGTCATTGGGGACCTACTCAGATCGCCACCTGTGGGTCCCAGAGACTCAGTACATTAAAAAAACTGTCAACATCACTGCATGTGCAGTAGAAGTATCAACTGTCAGAACTACATGAATAAATGAGAGGTGGTCTGTAATGCTGCATTCATCAACACCTTGATTAAAGAATGAAACATGGTAAATAAATATTATCTTTAATTTTGGGTGATTCTGATAGAATAGCCACCCATCGAATGGGTCTTTTAATGTAGTGGGGGCTTTTACATACTTTTGGAAACTTTGGAGACTTACCTATGCCTAAACTTTTTAATTTCCCATCCTCCTCATTCCTGTGCTGACCTCGGCTTGACCTACAGTAAAAGCAGAGGCAATCTCTGCCTTCCTCCCTACTTCTCTGCTGCTTTGTCTTTATCCTGACCCCCCGTATAATTGAGGTGAAGCAATGGTGGGCACAATCAGGATTTTAAGAAAACAGATCAGTAATTCTGAAGTTTCCGAGAGTAAATCAGATTCCCTGGCTGAATCAAGAAAAGCACTTCCTCCAGGGGAGAGAGAGGGAGTAGGAGGGTGAGTGATGGAGTGAGGGTCTGTCCACTTTATAATTAGAATAGTGGAATTCAATAACCCTGGTTCAAACACCCATGAGTCTGTGCGTGCGTACGTGCGTGTGAGTGCAAAATGTCTTACATACTCCAAACTCAACTAACCTTTGACCCCTTTATAACAGCAGCTCTGTGGCAGTCAGAGTTTCTCTTATATTCTCTTATATTTAGTAATTAAAATGATATGTGAGGCCATGGAGTTTGTTGTGTGATTTGAGTTTGTGTTGATGATTACAACTACAACTCCAAATCAACTTTATTTATAAATTTGTTGCTCAAAGTGCTTCACATAGCAAAATTAAACATTAAAGGTGCCATATGTAAGAATGTGGCCAAAATGGTTACTGCACTACTACTGCCGTGAGTCGTGTCCGCCCCCCCTCCCCTACAGATTCAAGGATGCTGGACAGTGGCACACTAAAGACTGACTTGTTTGCCCATGGGCGTCGCTGCATCCTTGATCTTTGGTTTTCCAGAGGACCGTTCAAGCAAGTCCGGCTTCTCTGCTGCTAACGCTGCTGCCGGGATACAGCTGAGGAGGAGCCGGCTGCTAATGCTATGTACTGGGACACTGCTAAAGCTGCTAGCCGTGCTGCTGTAGCTCAGTTGTAACTGTAAGTGATGCTGAGACTCTACTGACTGCGTGACTGGTAGACGACGGTGGGTGGCGCAACAGGCCAAAACACAAATTCAAAACATAAACATGATTAGCAGACTGTAAAAATGTTTTTTAAATGCGAATATTCTGGCTGTACTATTGTTATCGGTGAGATCAGTATGTTATATGAACATTATTCCTTAGTCTCTGTGACATATTAGGAGGATTTTATGACTATTTGCTTTAGATTTCTTACATATAGCTCCTTTAAATTAAAAAACATAAAACAAAAATAAATAAATCAAGACTAAAACTAAAAATGATTTAAATGATAAAATACTAAAAAAAATCAATAAATGTAGGTATAAATGAATTAACACCAGTGTTAAAAATAATGTAAAAATCTATGATTAAAACTTAAAAACTAATGCAACAACATTATTTCAAATTAAAATCAGACCTAATATTTTTTTCTGCTTATTTGCTTTTAAACAGGAGAGTTGCAGTGAAGAAGTTAATGTTCTCATATTTTATTTCCAGTTATTTGTGAAAAAGCTTTGTCTCTGTCGTTCCTGTGGTTGTAGAGATAAGGCAAGGTTACCGAGCACATTTCTGCAACAAGGCAATTCAAAGTTCTTTACATAAAACATTAAAAGCATCGAGACCAAATGCAAAAGAAAATAATTATGAAAGAACTTTTAAATACAATTAAAATGCCATTAAAGAGCCAAGAAAATAGAAAATGAAATTAAAAACACAACTCAGACAGGTTTAAAATACAAGAACACAGTTACAGTACAGTGTAAGAAGTGAACTTGAGAGTTGCAGCAGACCTGCAATTTTCAGGGAGTTTGTTCCAAATAGGTGGTGTATAAAAACTAAACACTGCTTCTTTGTATTTAGTTTTGACTCTGGGGACGCAAAGCAGACCTGCTCCAGATGACCTGAATGGTCTTGATGGTTCACACTGTAGCAGAAGGTCAGAAATGTATTCAGACCCTAAACCATCCAGTGCTTTAAAAACCAACAATAGTGTTTTGAAATAAATTCTCTGGCATACAGGAAGCCAGTGTAAAGACCTCAGAACTGATGTGATCCACTTTCTTGGTGTTAATGAGGACTGGAGCAGAAGCGTTCTGAATCAGCTGCAGCTGTGTGGTCGATGTTTTAGGAAGACCTGTAAAGACACCATCACAGTAGTCAAGTCTACTGAAGATAAATGCATAAATGCGTTTTTCTGAATCCTGCTGAGACACAAGTCCTTTTATCCTTGATATGTTCCCAAGGTGATGGCAAGCTGACTTTGTACTTGTCTTAATGTGGCTGTTAAAATTCAGCTCTGATCCATGACTACACGAACATTTGTGGCTTGGTCTGTGGTTTTTAACATTGCCAATTGAAGGTGAGCGCTGACTTTTGATTGTTCCTCTTTGGCTCCTTGGTATAAACCAAACACAGATCAGCTGGTAAACAAGAATCTTGTGTTCAGTTTATCATTATCCCCTTGCAGGATTTGCAACAAAACTGAAGTTCAGATACAACAATTCAGCAGAGATTCGATATGGAAGTTTACAATGTCCTCTAACGTTAGCTTTCTGTCCTTCATCTCCTCACAACTCAGTACCGCTGACGCCAGCAAGGAACCTGCGTTTCTCAGATGTGGACCACAGCTCTGCCCGGCTCACATGGGACTCTGCTTCCAGGAAGGTCAAAGGCTACCGCATCATGTACGTCAAGACCAACGGAGTCCAGACCAATGAGGTGAGGGGATCCTGCAGGCCTCAGCCACTGAGAGCAGAGGTTACAAACCTCGTCTCAGAATGCCAACTGAGCCAACAGCAACCACAGGGCTGCAGCTCTGGAGATTCTGAATCATTGCATGTCTGTAAAAATCCACACGGCTGGGTGGAGTTTTTGTGCACTGTGATGTGCCTGAACATTTAAACACCATCAGGCTGCACATGTTGACTTAAAGAATAAACCACTCCGCTGAGGAAAAATCTAAAATATATGTCACATGTTTGGTCATGTTTCTTCAGGTGGATGTTGGCCATGTGACATCCTGGTTGCTAAGAAACCTGACTTCCCTGACAGAGTACACAGTTGGTGTGTTTGCCGTTTACGATGAGGGACAAGCTGAGGCTGTGACTGACAGCTTCACCACGAGTAAGAACAAATATCAGTATTATTACCACACAGGCATTCTAATCATATACAAATTTAGACCCCAGAAATATCAGAATATACACAGAATTTTTTTAAATGGAAACATAAGCAGTCCAGTTTATGTTACATTGTTACTTTAAGTGTTTATTTGTGTGTAGAGACCGTCCCTGACCCGCCAGACCTGAGGAGCAGTGACATCTCCACTGACAGCTTCAGAGTGTCATGGCAACACCCAGCCTCTGATGTGGTGCTGTACCGCCTCATCTGGACGCCCACAGATGGAGGAGACAGCGAAGAGGTGTGTGTGTGTTCATGTTTTTCATACTTAGAAGTAAGAGGAAGTTCAGGAAAGGTTTCCCTGCAGGAATCTTAGGTGAGAATATCAGGATTTTAATGTGGGAGATTCTGTTTGCACCCAGGAATTTGTAGCTAACAATGCTCCTTATCTATTGGCACACCAGAGTGTATATTACCGGAGTCCTAGCAACGTTGAAATATAACATTAACATGAACGGATCTATTCAGCTATTCAACTAAAGTTTATGTACACAATGTGTCTTCAGCAGCTTTACACACCCTAAAAACTGAAAACATGTCAACTAAGTCTAAAAAGAATAAGCCAATGTTGACTCACAGGTGACTTTAAACCCAATCACCTGTGTGAAAGTCTGTGCTTAATCTACTCACTCACCACATCTTTCTCCGTCTGTGGACCGTGTCGCTCATCGTACTACGTCACCTGACTGTCTGGCAGCAATATTTTTCTAGTAAATTGTATCCAAAATTTGCGAGTACTACACCTAACCATGACCTCTTTGCCCTAATCCTAAGCGCTTCTGACCCTGACATGTCGACGTGACGAATACTAATCAATCACAGCACGCAGTGAGAGCCATAATAACGCCTCAGAAGGATGGGTGTAAATAGCCAAATAGCTGCAATTTGACTGTTCTCACCTGGGTGCAAATAGACTAGGGCAACACATTCTCACTCCGACCTCGTCACATATCGACGTTTGGTCATGGGCTTTCCACGTCCATGACATGCAAGGTATCCTGAGTGCGTTAGTTGTTGACGTTTTAGGACACCGTGTTAAGTTCCGCTTGTTAGATGTATTGTATTCTTTCAAAATACATTTCTGGTTTCACAGGAGTTTCACCGTTTACATACAGTCTCTTTCAAAATAAATGTACATGGTATGGTAACTGTCAGCTTTTACATCACTGTATACCTTGAAACCGGAATATCGCTGCAACCCTAAAATAGTTTTTATATAAATTCTTTAAAAATGTTCTTTAAAAAATGTGTTTTTTAAGTAGATCTCATTCGAATTTCATTGAACCAGGCTATTCCCTTACTTTTAACAACATTAAATAATATTAAAAACTCCTAAGAAAAATATTGTCAGGACATATAAGTGTCCTCTTGCTCATTTTTCTGTTCCTTTCTTTACTTCTCCCTTTTGAGGTTACAGTGGCACAAGGCTTCTCTCGGCTAAATAAACTCCTTCTGGCTGCTTGTATCAACTCTCTCTTTCTTTAGCTCACTACTGAACAGTTTATGACCTAAAAAGAGGTTTCAAGTGTAGATGGTAAATTGAGAGCTTCTCCTTCAGCATCAGCTTTCTCTACAGCCTCTGCATTATCTGCCCTCAATCACATCTGTACACACTTGGACACCTTTATTGTGGGTAATAACTTCAAGAGAGCAATCCACTGTTGTCCAGTAGAGCACCATCGCCTCAGATGAATATGATTTAATTTAGTCACTGATGATTTGCAAACATTTCTGCTTTGCTGTGCTTATCATTGTTGCTTCCTCTCTTTCTTATGTGGATGTCAAACATTAACACGAACCAGTCAAGGTCCTCATAGCTTTAGCAATACAGACACCTATTTTTGAGTGCTACTGTCTCTGTTGTTTTTCGTTTTTATTTTATTTATAAATGAAGCCACATTTTATCTCAAATTTGATAATCTTGAAGCAGATGATTCAATTAAGATACGAAATAAGCAGAGAGGTGAACACAATAAGATTTAAAGTCAGCTCTCTCCCTCGTCTCACTCTGTCTGTCGCACTAATGAGGATTATCTCAGAGATGATATTCCCAAAAACAAGACGTGTTATCAGTCTCTTCACCTGTTGTCCTGTCACTTATCTGCTGGTTTCTGTTGTTATTTTGATGTCTCTACCTGTCTGTGTCTTCATGCAGTGATGTAACATTCAGGTTTGTTTTGCTGCAAATATATTACAAAAGAGGAGAGACACTATAGGTGAATTAAGTGATATCACCAGGAAACTTCCTGAGTTGATACATTAACTTACATTAACACAGTTTTTGCATTACAACTTTTCTGAAGTTTTTTTATATGCAAATTAGGCATGACCTAATACATTTAATTATCTAATGAAATATGTGCTGAATTGCATAAATGTCCAAAGCTGAAATCTGAACTTTGGGTAAAGCCGGATTTAAAAGTTTTGTTTCATTTCGTTGACATATCAACAGTCAGAGTTTTTTACAGAGGGGATTTTGGATATCTTGCAAAGTACTGTGCTTTCAGAAGCAGGATCTCACCTTGGTTCTTGGTGCAACAATAAACATATTAAGAGGAAGAAAATAAGGCAAAATACTGCAATACTTCATTACATAAATATAGAATAGAAAACTTACAATAAAAATATGAGGGACTATGAGTGGGAGTAATTGAGCCATCTGGGGTTTTCTGAGTGGGAGCCAAAGGGTTAAGGCTAGATGGATAGAAAAGTACAAAAGAGCATAGGTAGATAGAAAAGTAAGAAGGAGCATAGGTAGGGAAGGCAGGGCCAACAAGAGATGTCTGCACAGACTGAACTCTCCCCCGCCGGACCGAGCCGTACACTGTATCTCCACCTACTCACTCATTTTCAGGGAGGGAAGAGAGGAGAAACTAACAGGAGAAAAACGTTGCCAACTCTAACTGAGGTGGAGTTTAACTGGTCAGTTGTTATTGTACATCTTACTCTATAATGACGAAAACTCTGTCTGTGGGTGTGTCTGTTCCACGTTTTTCTCCTGACTGACTTGGTCAATCCATGTGAAATTTGGCACAGTGGTAGAGGGTCATGGGAGGATGCGAATGAAGCAATATTACATCAGTTGGCCAAAGGGGGGCGCTATAGCAACCGATTGAAATTGCAAACTTTGAATGGGCATATCTCATGCCCCGTATGTCGTAGAGACATGAAACTTTGCACAGAGGTGCCTCTCCTCATGAGGAACAAATCTGCCTCAAGAACCCATAACTTCCAGTTATATAGATTTTCCGCCATTTTGAATTTTTTGAAAAACACTTCAAATGGATCTCTTCCTAGGAAGTTTGAGCGATCTGCATGAAACTGGGTGAACATAATCTAGGGACCAATATCTAAAGTTCCCTCTTGGCAAAAGTTGGAAAACTTACTAAAACTGAGCTTCTATAAGGCAATGAATATTGCGGAGGGCGTGGCTCATCACATAAAGGTGTATAACATCTCAAGGGTTTCACCCATCACCACGCAACTTTGTAGGCATATGACCACACATAATCTGAGGGGACCCCTCCATTATTGACCCCATCAAACAAAATGGGGGCGCTAGAGAGCTAATTTCTTATCTAGGCCTAACGGCCATATAGATTTTTACTAAACTTGGTAGATATGTAGAACAGGACGCCTCAAGGTGACTGGAGAAATTTTACTCTAATTGGCAACTGGGTGGCGCTATAACAACAGAAAAATGCTTAAAAATGGCTAAAATGCGACCGATCGCTGTGGCTCCCCCTGTGGCCCAATGTTTGTTTTTTTCTTCTCATTTTTGGTATGACTAAGTCATGGTATGGTATGCTGTACATAATCACGGAAACTGTCATTCTGTCTGTCCCATGTTTTTCTACTCACTGACGTGGTCAATCTATGTGAAACTGCACATAGGCATTGAGGATTGGCATAGCTAGAAGGTGACAAAGCTACCAATGGGTATGGACTAGTACTTATGATTGTGAGTGAAGGTTGGAGGCATGCTGGGAGGGTAAATGCTTCACTGAGGTCATCAGGTGGATACCCTCCTTCACTAATGTTTCAAGGGCTCATTGCCAACACCTGGCATGCAAAAGTCAACATCTCACAAACAGAAACAAGGAAGTGAATGTGGCAGACTGCTATGATTGGTGAAACTCATGGAAAGCTACGATAATTGGTCAAATTTGTGGAGAAGTAGTGGGGATCGGATGGAATTGAGCAGAATTCACTGGAATTGGATAGTTTGTTAATTATTGCAATCACAACAGCCTTGAGGGTTAAATAGGTGAAATAATTCAACTAATAGATATCCCAATGAAACTTCCCCAGCTGATTACTTACATTGAGACAATTATTTTTCTATTTCAGGTTTTCTGAAATGTTGTTTGATTTGAAAATTCGGATGTTTGTTAAGTGTGTTAACTGCAAACATAACCTGATTCAGTGTGGTTTACCACCTCTGTCTGATTTTCTGTGTCACCGACTTTTATTCATCTGCATCAGCTGTTCGTATGCTTGTCTGACAGAAAATATCTATCCCTGTGTTTCTGTTTCAGGTTCTGGTGAACGGAAACATTAACACCTACCTGATAAAAGGACTCAGCCCCCTCACCGAGTATGAAGTCCTCCTCACTGCCATCTACGGCAACGAGGTTGAGAGTGACGAGGTGATCCTTGTAGAGTCCACGGGTAAATTAAACATTACTACTGCAGGTCTTCCAACTCTACTCATGTTTCCAAAAAGTTCATCACAGTAATTAGTGAAGTTACAAGTTTGGTGCTTTCGCCGTTAAGCCAACTGTTGTGTTTATCACTAAGCCAATGCATAATCCTTTTTTACTTTATGTTGTCTGTTCTAGTGTTGGATCAGAGAAAGGCATTCCTTTTCAGATTGAAACAAACATCAGAGGATCATTTAAGATATATTAAATATTTTTGTTTCATTTTCAGTTGAAAGAACAACTACCCTGGCCACAACAACCACCACTGCAGCAAGTAAATATTTCACTCCTGCTGTTGTGATGAATTGTGTTTGTTTCTCCTTTCTACTTTCCACTCCACCTTCCTTTACCTCTTCCTCATGGTCAATGTTTTTAGATGTAATAATACACAAAATGACATTTGGATTTGAACATTTTCTTCTGTACAAGTTTCACTAAAGTTTTAGCAAAGTCCTTAAACAAGCAGAGAGATTATAAAGGTGACGTTATCTAACAGTGTAAAAAAACATGTTTTTAGAACTTCTCATGAATCTTTAAGAACTTATCCTTAGGGAAAAAGCAGGGTTCAAGATTAAGAAAACATCAGGCAGCAAACTTCAGATTACAGTTTGCTGCCTGTGTTTCATTGATAATGTTTGTAAATCTTTTCTCATGTCTCTAGATGGATGTTGTGTCATCCATCATGAAGGCTGGCGGAAATTTTGCCAAGTTTTGATTTTGAAAAGACGCTGATATGAAGTTGAAAACCTGAGTAAATTAAATGCCAAAAAGATGACATGGTGATATGAGGAGTTTTTCCGATATAAGATGAAGAACATCAAACTGTGACAGTGTTATGCTTCGGTGAGTTGATGTTGATGTGTAACTCAGTGGCCTGCAGTGTGATTTTTTTGTGCTCTCTCTCATCCCGCAGCTCCTCGTTATGGGGTGAGGAACATGAGGATCGATGAGGAAACCACCTTCAGTATGCGGGTGGCGTGGCAGCCTGCGGACACGAGGAATGTCCGACATTATCGACTGAGCTACATCAGCGCCAAGGGAGACCGAGCAGAGGAGACGGTAAGACAGAAGGACAGAGACAGTGTTTGCTCTGTTTCATGAAAATCCGTTTGCTAACTTCTAACAGGCTGAGGGATGTTTTGATTGTCTGCTCACACTCATTAGAACGTTTGGATTTAAAGTGGCACTGAGATTGTTGTTTTTTAGTCTTTTTAAATTTGATGAATTCTTTCATCTTTTTTTGCTTTGGTGTTTCAGCTTCGATCTCCTGTTAATCAAATGTGGTTGTGATTTTTCTGTTTTGGATGTGTTTGCTCCAAACAAACTAGAAGTATATCAGATCATTTCAAACCATGAGGCCACTGGTTTTATAACTTTTATTGGCTGATAATTTGTTATCAGTGCTGTTTATGAAACAGTTGATCTGAGACATGCTGGCACAGTTTTCAAAGAGTTGTGTGGGAAATCTCTGAAGGACTTTATCATTTTTATATGTGTCATTCAAGCCACTTGTTTAATTACAGATGCACTTGGTTGTAGTTGCATCTCAGAGCAGTTTCTTTTCTAAAGGAATTCATAGAAAGTGTGTCTTTTGACTATCAGCTACTGCTTATCTCATTGAGGTTTGAAATTTAGCCCTGAAAAGCCAACCCAACTGCCAGAAAAAAATATCTGCATTTTGTTTCTGCAAACCACCAATATGTTACATTTGCATGAACCAGCGGCCGGTGACCTTTACCATTAAAAGAGCCATTATTGGCCAAAAAAAAATCTGTCTGGAGTCACAAAACATATTTGAATAAAGGTAACAGCCTATTAAGTCTGAATTATCCCATCAACATTACCAAAATTCTAAATAAGCATTCATTAAAATGATTTACTACAAGGTGGCCACTCTGCAGTTGGCTGTTTTTAAAGCCTAGTTTATGCTCGACGCAGTCACGACTGTGCGAGGTTCGTGCGCCACAAATGATGTAATTGTGCACCCGGTGACAGCCGTGCGAGCTTCGCGAGGTCGTGCACCTCCAGGATTTTGAAACTTTTTCGCAAGCCACGCTAGTGTCGCTCAGTTCAAAATGGATGAATTTGAGGGAAGACTAGCTGAAGCATCTCTTCATCTACAGCCCGCATTGGCTTCACAAGCTGGCTGTGTTCCCCAGTCAGATATCTCGCTACATGTAATGGGCGGATAGACCATCTTCTTTTGCAATGCTTTTGTCTGGTCAAAAGCCATAAACATAACAATTCCACCTTCTCTGCAATCCATACTTTTCGTGCCACCATCATTGCTGTTTACATCGTTTTCCACTTGCTTCTACTTCTACTGTTTTTTGCCTGCTTCTACTACTTCCTATAGTATTTTTTCTCTTCCGCCCCCTGCCTTTGCGGCGAATACTGCAACGGAGAATGTGCCAAGTATAAATGCCTTTGCGCTCTGTTGAGGTGCGCACGCAATCCGCGAACGGAGCCAGGCGAAGGTATAACTGAGGCTTAATTATTTAGTACTTTAACAGGTGGTGGTGACAGCAAATTAATCTGTCCACACACTTTTAAATCCTCTGACTTTTCTTGGACTTTTTTTGGATTTGGGATCCATAGTCAGCCTTGCTGGCATGACTGTAGGCTAGCTATGCTTCCTGAATTCAGTAAAAATTTCATTTCAGGTCGTAGACATATGACACACATTTAAACGTTAGAATATTTTTCGGTTTGATATATAGGCTACACATTTTTACAATTGTAGAATGCAATTATACATTTCCATATAGTTTTATGTCAAAGCCACAGGGAGCCAATGGAGAGGGTCTAAAGAGCTGCATGTGGCTCCGGAGCAGCAGGTTGCCTTCCCCTGGTTTAGGCACAAAAACCACTTTGTTCTAGTTATGGAAAGATAATGTTTTGCCTTAAAATACCAAGTCAGTGACTAAAAAGGTACAAGAAAAACAGCAAGCAGATGCTACAAAACACCCAGTAAAAAGCTGCTGAAAATGCAGGGATGATTTGCTAAAAACAACTGGTTTTGTTGTTTGTTGGTCTCAAACAGTGGTTCGTAGCTTGGCCGGCATCTAGTCTTGGTGTCATGCCATCCACCATTCCCTCCACCTCTGAATGACAAAGTCAGCTCATATACTATGTCACTTTAGAAATGTTAATATAATACATATATGGAACATTCAAACTTAACATATCCATGGTTTGCAGAGATGCACAATGTCAACATTTTATTCTGGCAGCTGGGCTGAAAAAACTTATAGCTTGTTCTCTCATTAAGTGTGGTCAGGTATAGAAGGCTTGAATTCACAAAGGTTTAAGACCTAGTCCACACGGACAGTCACTTTTGAAAACAGGTTTATTTCCCCCCATCTCATCCACACACACTGATATAAAAAAAATCCTGTCAAAACAAAAACGCACTTAAGGCCCAGAGGCAGCTATATAACTATAACTCTAAAGCCAGGCGAAGAAGAAGAGAAAATTAAAGGATATTATCAGCCTGTAAAAAGCTATTACCGGGAGGCCACCTGAAACAGTTACCTCTGAAGTACATCCTGACACCTCTGTTCCTCAGTATAGTGGGAGAGTACCTGTACAATTGTGTGTTAACATGTAAAAAGTCCTGATCGCAAGGTTGGAACCAGCACTAATCTGACCATGTCTGCCATTCAGGGTTGGAAATTTGCACCAGCCACAAACCCAATGCAGGTAAAATATACAAGAAGCTGGTAGATTTGCTTGACTCACCAGCCAAAAAACAATGGTAATCTATTGATAGATAGGTAGATGTCAGGATCCCCCAGCCACAGTGGCAGGTGGACAGAAAAGGTCAATTTCCAACCCTTTTGCCCTTGCAAAAAATGATGCCTCATTTGCAATGCCTCACAAGGGAAATTACTGCACAAAGTCTTAAGTCTCAAGCCGAAAACTCCTTTCTGGAAGTCTTCACCCTGTATGGAGTTTTGTAAAAGGTGCATTTTCAGTGACCTAAACACAGTTTGCGTGTGGACAAAAGGCCCAAACACAAAAAAGCTATGTCTTTAAAGAATACCCCTGTACTTGTGGACAAGGCCTAAAAAGAGTAAAAGATGTCCATCAGAATCAGAATCAGAATGTCCATAGACACACCTATTTCATATCCACTTCTCCACCAGTGATCTGAATGTTCAGTATGAACAGAGGACCACATGCACATCCAGCACTTCTGTCACCTCTTTGTAGTTCTCAAGCTCCACCCAAAGGAGCTTACACAGTGATTTATTGTAACATACTTAATATAAAGCCCCGTTCCCACCAAACACATTGAAACCAAAAGTAACCCCTCAGACATGATACCTAGACCCTAGCGTTTCCACTGCAAACAATAACCACAAATGTGGGCGAGGTTGTTGTCACTTACTGCTCCATCCTGCACTGTATTTCCTAATCACAGGAGTCTGCACCTTATTTACCATCCACAGAACGAGGCTGCATGCCGACATTTTCAGAACAAAACAGAACAAGCTGCAGTGAAAGTCTCTCTCCATGGGATATTTAAAAATAGTAGGTTTGTGCGTTTAGTCCTTCTCAGGCAAGCTCAGGGGTTTAGTGTTGCCAGAGCCCAAAAGAACAACGCTCCGCGACACTTTTTTTTTTCCCACTGAGTGAGGGATATATGCGGTTCACATAATCTTGTTGAAATTAATATACAAAAAGGCTTGAAGATCCACTCATTACTAAAAGTGTATGTCATCCAAGATAGACAAAAACTAATGATATGGCCAAAGTTGTCATGTTGATATTTAAGATGTGCTGATGGATTTGTGTCGTCAACACTGAGTAATATTACAAGTTAACGTTCCACCTTAAAAGTTGCCGGCAGCCGGCCCACTGAATTAAGCTATTTTTTTCTCAGTCTACAGCAGCTGCAAGAGGCAGCAAGACATCCTTTCATTTTATAGTTACAGTCTCCTAATATATGTAAACCTCTCCACGGTATAAACAGTGGTTACATGAGCTTCAAAACTCAGCCCTGGGGAGAGTGACCGTCCTCTATTGACCAATCATTGACCAGTGCCTTGGACATATTCATGGCTTTCTTTTTTTTGGCGGGGTTTCTGAGTCACATTCAGAATCCATTTTAAACCCACAGGGGGTAATTAATATTTTAAAATAAGGATTTAGAGTAAGTGGTTTGATCAAGTGTGTAATAACTGTTGCCAATGAAAAGTTTGTTAAGAGTCTTAATACTATAGCTGTGTGTAAGTTGGATGGTAAAAGATTTGTCAAGATGTGCAAGGCATTTGGGAAGTCCTGGAAGGAGCAAAAAGAGGAAGATGTTGATTTAAACAAAGCCAATCCTTCCATGTGTCAATCCTCAGTGGAGCGTAGGTATGGAGATTATTGATGAAGACGAAAGTCCTCCATGTAGAGAAAGAGGGAGGGAGACAACGACTGTGTTGTTGAAGTTGATGGCAGGCCTTCAGAGTGGAGTTGAGAGGAAGAGAGAGGGAGAGGAGGATAATGATGATGAAAACAGTGGCAGATCCTCAAAGAGTTTGTTTCATGAGAGAGAAAGGGGGACAGAGACAGACAGAGACAAAGAGAGAATGGCAGGTCTTCATACTAATGAGCCACAACAGACAGGGAGAGAAAGAAGTAAAGACTTTTATAGAAAACAAACACTGATGCAAAAACATCCAGTTTGGTATGGTGGAAATGTTCTGTGTGTGTTTACATTCCTGTGTTTGGGCATGGTTGACATGCAAACATTGGGATGCTACATAGATGAAGTGCCGAAATTACAGTTGAGATGTCTGCAGTTGTGTTCAGTTTCACTGAAATGAAATTACAAACTAAATATATTTTTAAAGGAACAGTGTGTAAGATTGAGGGAAGTGGTGTCTAATGTTGAGGATTGCAGATTGTAACCAGCTGAAACATCTCTTGATTAGAATCCCTTCAGTGTTCATTATTCAGGAGGTTTTTAGTGGTAGCTGAGTTATCCACAGGTCTCTTCCTCCCCAAAACAAAGGTACCAGGGGCCAAATTCACAAATATTTTGAGAATACTCTCAGAGGGCTCCT